AAGTTGGGAATACATAATGAAATTCATCTGCAGTGCAGTACTTTATACTCACTGTAGGAAAGTACTATAAAATCCCTCTATGGGACATAATATGTTTTGCAGTTTTGCATGGGCTCCGAGGCTTCACTTTGGAAACCCCTGCTTTAGAGCATTTAAACAATTGGCATAATAAGAATTACTGACTCAGGATGTGATCACTGTGGTTCCCAGTAATCAGCCTGGAAAGTTTCCGAGACATTAACAGTTCTCCTCTGGATTTTGTTTATTCATTTCAGTTGGGTTTATGCTGCCTATTCTGTATGTCAGATATTCTGCCTCCCTAAAAATATCCACTGGCTGCTACTTTTCCTGCATACCCTGTGATTTTGATGAGCAGTGAGAATGCTATTCTCCTTTGGAACAGTAACTGGAAAACATACTTTTCCACTTTTAACCCTAGTGTGAGGTCCCGCAGAAAGCTATCTTTAATTAGTAAAATGCTTTTAGTGCACAGAGGGGTAACACATTCCTTCAGAGACTTGTGAGAGGTTTGCAAAGGAACAAAGGCTGTAGTATATATGAAGTTTTATTTATGTTGGTGTAGGACAGGTGCCCTTGCTGCAGAGAACCTGTTTCATATTAGGGGTCTGTGATAAAAGGGAAATGATTAATTCAGGATAGTAATGTAATCTTTGATCTTGAGGCAGTCCTAGTAGGTCAGACTTCAGAAATGGCAGGGGGGCATTACAGAAACTCATGCACCTGTCCTACAAATACACCAGGGACTTTGGTATACAGCTCAATCAAATTTGGTATCAATAGGGAACACTAAAATTGCACTCTAAACTGAAAATATAACGTCTTCCTACATTTACGTAACGGTTGTTTTGCCAGCACACATCTAAAAAGAACCACAGAAATAATCTACAGAGGAATAATAAGAACCTGAGGAATGGTGAGGGAGCACCCTAAGAGTGCACACCATCTGGACAACAAGCTATTTGGCACCAATTTGCAGCTCCACTGGTTGACAAGCCTTTCATACAGAAGACAGAATTCTTGCAGGGGTCAAAATTAAAGAACAAATGTACTCTCTGATTGTTAAAAATGCAGTGTACGTTTACCAGTGTTCAGTACAGTAGTTGGAATCATCATTAAAATTTGAAAATTGAATAAATGAAAATGAGTAAAGCAATCAGAACACTTATGTTTTAAATCTTTCAACTCCCCCATGTTTCCCAGAATTTATTCGTCAGCAAATTCAAGTCAGATGCTCAAACTGTAAATCGTGGTAGTTCAGTTATGACAACTTACATCATTGAGTGTTCACTGCCTAGGTTTTGAAGTGCAGATCTTACTCTGAAAGTGACTCTAAAAACTAACTTGTCGAGTCCCATGTTTGTTTTCCATACATCAACAGTTTCCCTAGCCTGTTCAGCAAAGCACCAAGGGGGTAATCTACAGGGAGCAGACTTTCTGCCCAGTGTAAACTTGAGATTCCATGTTATGTGGAAGCTGCTTATTACAAAGAAAGCTATTTGCTCGCTTTCTTCTTTGTTGCAATTTTCGTGGAAACACCACTCCTTCTGCTTAAAGGTAAAGATACTCTTTTGTATCTTCATGGCCTTTGCTCAATTTGTGGTGAAAGTCTTCATGGAAATTCAGCTACTTGATTTGTCCAGATGGATATAAAAAAATAGGTTAAAAAGCAGTCACCAGCATGCAATCCAAGAGCTAAAAGGCATTTCTGCTAAGCAAGGCTTTTTTTTGTTTTTGTTGTTGTTGTTTTTGTTTGTTCCCCCCCCCCCCCCCAATAAATGACCCCATCTATGAGTACATAAAGAGAAATCCTCCTCTTGTATCTCTGCATGGAACTATCACAACAGTCCTTGCAATCCTTCAGGTATGAAGCTTGTTCTTTCCACTAACTCCCAAAGTACGTAGGGATCCAGTTGTGAGTGACTGTGCAGCCTTAACACAACCCTCCTCTGGGCAGCATGCTCCATTCTCTAATCCCATTTTTCCATGGGACCTGTGTCTTACTAAACACCAGAAGGAAATGGTTCTGGAGACCAACCAGAACTGTGCAGTGAAGACAATCTGTTTCTTACAGGAATATTAAGTTGAAAGGGATTTAGTGAAAGGAGAGAAAATACAGAGGAGGGGAGGATGCCTCAGTTAAGGAACTAAAAGTTGCTTTCAAACAAAGCCCTAGCATAATGTCAGATATGTCATTTAAGCCAGCAATCAGGCTTATCAGCCCCTGATGTCAGAGTACTGACTAGACACACTAATCATATAATCTGAAGTTCTGAGAACTCTTAGTGGCCACTGAAATCAATGTCTTTGAATGAACAAAGTATTAGGTAATGCTGTTAAATCTCAAGAATCTTTGTTACTTCATACTGGGCATCCAAAACCTCAATGGATAGAGAACAAATCAAACGGTTTAAAACAGGAGGGTCTGAAATGTGGGACCTAAGCCAGGAATGAGTTTTATTTTAAACAAAATGGGAATAAAAAACAATGAAGCTTTTCATGCTTAACCACTTCACACACTAGATGAAACAAAATATCTGTGATAAATAGGAGCATATGGTTACCTACTTATTACTGTACTGCAATGTTTGTGGCAGGGGGAAGGAATAGCAAAACTCCATAAATTCTAACTTTTTGATTATTTGACTGCCTCTTCTGCAATACTCCTTTTTATACAATATATGAAAACCCCCCAAAGTATCATCAATTTATCTGAAGGATGAAAAATGTGTATATGCACTTAGTAGCTACAGTATTTTACACTACTGGATTAAATTACAAAGGAATGGCTGCAAACACACGCAGATTGTAATGATGGACTAGAATGAAATTTTCTGGTTCTTACAGATGAAGCAATCTTTTTTTCCCTGAATATAAGCAGTTCTGATATAATAAACTGGAAACTGGGATGTTGTTGGACTGGATATAGAATTTCTTAGTCATTGCAGAGAACAAAAATTGCCAATCCAAGTAGCAAGAAAAGTCGTTCACTGGAAGGTATATCCCTTCTGTCTGGAATTTCTCTAGCTATCTCAGGAATCCCTGCACAAACAGGAGAGTGAAATACTGCAGATCTGGAACCAGAAGTACAGGTATGCAAAATAGAGGCCTGAGTGGTCTGCTGAAGCTTTCTTGAAGAGCTTCTACTTTTCTCATGTTCTGTGTAAGTAAAGGAACTTGAGCCAGGGGCCGATTTCACAGAACTACAGGAAACTAATTTGTCTACTACTACTTGCTTATAAAAGCAAAGGTAAAAACCCTGTGGGTGTGTGTGTATATATAAATATATATATGGTAAACCACAGTGTCATCAAAGCAGTTCCTCTCATAATCTCTTCCTTAGCAAACAGTTAAGAGGAGACAAAGCAGAAATACTCCAGTGCAATAACAGAGAGTAAAAGCAATTCCCCAAATAAAACACCTTCACATTAAGGGTTTTCAAATTACTGGCCTATCTATAATGATGGTGGACCAAGATTTGAGACACTGCTCTAGCAACCGCAGTAAAAGCAGCCATTTTCATGACTTTTATAGCTGTAACAGGCCCCCTCTGCCCATCTGTTCTTGTAATAACCACTGTGACTACTGTAATAATTCATACTTCTGCCTCATGAATAGGCTGAAGAAAGAGCACCTAAATGATGACCACATTAGCCCATGCATTCTGGCTCTAACCTGGAGTAATACAGCCTGG